TATTATTCGGCCTTGCTTTTAACTTATTCCACCGAATACCAAATGTGTGTTTTTTTTGCAATATTTGGCCGAATATATTCGGTTACCGAATATTCGGTGCATCCCTAAATTTGAGGGAACACTGCCTCACACAAATGTCAAGTTGGAATGTTGATGCATTATGCAAATCATCTCCTGGTTTGCTACAGAAGAAGCACACCTGTGATGAATGATGTGTCTGAGTCATCTTATGTGGGGCATTTTCCTCTTTCCAGCCCTCTGAAGTTTTGTTTTGTTGTAATGCAGTCTGCAGGAGTCGTGCCATTTGGTTTTGTGAAGCCGGAATTATGCCTCGATGCCCTGACCCTCATCCAGTTGTGACAGTTTTAGTGTTTTTGGCAGGCAGCCGATCTTGTCAATTGCTACAAGATGCCCAGCCATGGTCTTGTATCCTGCACCATCTGTGCCACATGCTGAATTAGATGGACATTTCAGCATCTCATCTGTGTCATCTTGACACAGAACACATTTGTTCCAGATTGTGGCCAGGCGCTGTGTATCTGATGTTTCTGGCTCATTAGGATTTACCACCTTGAAAAGTTTTGCCATTGTCTCTCAGCTGAAAGCATACAAATAGGTGTTAGCCAACAGATTACTGATGTTTTGACCAATATTTTGTCAAAAAGAGCAACATTTTCACTGCTGCTTCATAAAGGCTTGCTAGCCAGCTAACTTGCTAAAGTTAGCCAAATATGTTAGCTCGCTAGCTCAATTGGTAATAAGGACTGATAAACATGTTGGTCGAATAACCACATTTAATTCAGAATGTTCACATGTTTAAGTTTAAGTTTAAGTTTGCTTTATTAATCCCCCTGAGGGGAAATTCAGTGTTTTCACTCTTGCTTGTCAATTACACACAGGTCTGAAAGACACATGCACAAACAGGACCTATACATGCACAAAGTGGAGAGATCTCAGAGTGAGGGGGCTGCCCTTTGGTCAGGTGCCTTGCTCAAGGGCACCTCGGCAGTGCCCAGGAGGTGAACTGGCACCTCTCCAGCCACCAGTCCACGCTCCATATTTTGGTCTGGACGGGGACTCGAACAGGCGACCCTCTGGTTCCCAACCCAAGTCCCTATGGACTGAACTACTGCCGAGAAAAAATATCTGTGTGGAACTGCACATATACAGTACTTTTACTGCTGTAATCAATTCTGTGCAGATAAGTCTTGCTGTGGAGAATATTGGATAAGGCACAAGTGACAAGAGCTCCCTCTAATGGATAATTCTAGTAAATAGCAATTACACTGCTCCAACAAAGAAGTACAGGATAAATAAAGAATCTGTTTGTTTGTTTTGTTTGTTTGTTTGTATAATATACTTAATAATGTAAGCTGCATAACTGCTGATCCCGATGTTGTCACACAAAAAGAAGTCAAATAATGGCAGATATATTGGCCAAACCAATATATCGGCCAAACCAATATATTGGTTGGGCTCTAAAATAGATACATACACAAACATATGAGGTCTGCACACAACTGTTTCTGTAATTCAGAAAAATATGTGTAACTCTGCTTATATTTGGTTTTAGTATTAATTAGTTCCCTGACTGTCAGATGCATGTAGTTGAGTAGTTTTTAGCATGTTGTAAATACTACCACTGCATTCCTGATCCTTCAAAATGTAGGATTAGCCCCCAGAATGAAGATCCTAGGTGGTTTAGAAACTAAGCTACTGGTAAAATAACAAATGGCCGCCATTGGCGCCATGGGACAACTATGCCATGGCCCTATAGCAAAAAATCTTCCTTAGGGCATGCTCTAACAGGGTGCCAAAACTCATGTTTTTATCATCAAAAGCACAATTCCTTCAGATATTTCACACATCTGCTGGACTAATATTTTAATTTAGTGAATTGATTCACACTGAAAATTCTTTTCTTTCTTTTTTTTGTACTTTATTCACAATCCCCATTAGTTGTTATCACACTAATGACTACTCTTCCTGGGGTCCACACAAAATACAAACAACAACAAGATAAAACATTAAATTATCACATCATAGATGATTTACAACATCTACAAAATTAACAAAAACAAGAGGCAGCAGTAGTTACCTCACATTCACAGTGTCACCACATCAGTAGATCATTAAGGCAAACCAACAGAGCCCATGAACTAGGGCCAATGCAATAGATAAATACTTTTAACCTTCACAAACATGAAATCATATGTTGGTAAAACAGATTTCTTTTTTGATAATTACTATTGTTTCTTTTTAAAACTAATTGTACTGGTAACCTGGGTTAAGTATAGTGGTTTGTGGTAGTTTATTCCAATTTGACGAAGAAGACCAAGACGGGCAGCTCTGTTAGGACAAGGTGAATTTTATTAAGCTTGTTTTGAGGCACTAGACCAGATTGCTGGACAATAATCCAGGTGTAATAAAACTAAAGCTCGTACTATTGTTTAATTGTCATCTCTGTTTAAAAAAAAAAATGAGCACACTTTCTGATCACTGAAATGCCTCTGCAACCATGTTATTAATGTGAGATGACCATGACAGTGTTCTCTCTAGTGTGACCCCCCAGAATTTGGCCTCTTTAACCTGCTCAATAGCCACCCCACACAAAGAGATGCACAGCTCTTGACCTGTCCTCAAAGCATGCTTGGAGCCAAATATCAGACCCTTTGTTTTTGAGATGTTCAAATTGTTTTCAGAAATCCATTCAGAAACCTGCATCAATTCTTTTTGCATTGTTATGTTAACCTCCTTGGCAGTTTTTGCAGATACATACATTGTTGTGTCATCCACATACATAGCCATACATGTCACAGCCTGCATTCTGCTCCCCTGCTCTCCCTGCGTTTTTGGGCACACAGCTGCTTCTCATCAGCACTCCCTGCATATAAGTAGCTGCTGCCTTTCCCTCAATGTCAGATTGTTCTTTGACTTCATGCAAGACTTTCCAGCACTCCTTACCTGCCTGATCTCCTGTTGCCGACCCTGCCTGCCTCTGACCTGTCTACGTCATCTGTTTCCTGGTAAACTCACCAGCCTTCTGTCCCCGACCACGAGTTCTGCCTCAGCGTCTCTGGTTTTTGTCTGCTTGTGGCTGTGTGGTGTTTTCCTGCCACGACATTTCACTGTGAGTGTTCCCTCCTGCTTGTCAGTTGCCTGCTGTGAGACACCACACGCTCCCTTGTGTGTGTGTCTGCTGCTCATCCCTTGTCAGCTCTGTTACTTTGCTCGACTGCTCTTCTGGTTCTGGACCCCTCCCCTTCTCATCCACACCATCAGTAAGTGTTACCACGGCCTGCTAGCCAACTGAACTGTTTGGGTCTGAGGACTCACGTCTTCGTTCTCACTCCCCCTTCCAAGTTCAGCCCAGTCCATTCCCTGGTCCCTAACCCCAGAGACTGTGTGTGGGCTCTGAGCCTGAAGAATGAACAGTTAATAAAATGGAATAAAGGAGAGGTCCTAGGCAGCTGCCCTGGGGAATTCCACATTATAGTGATTTAATGTCTGAAGGGACACGATAGAAAATATACTGTTGTCTACTGAATTAATAACTTTTCATCCAATTTACAGCTGAAATTTTGAATCCATATGCAGATAGTTTCAGAACTAGTTCATGGTCTGTAAGATCAAAAGCTGCACTAAAGTCAAATGTACAATACCCACTATTAATTTTATGTCAATTTGTTGTACTTTGAATATAAATAAAGTGCCAGAGTGCATAAAAAGCATCAAAATAGAGCTTGTATATGAAAAAATAAAGTTCCAGGGGAGGATTCCCTGGATCCCCAACAGAGGTCTGGGCAAATTATTTGTATATACTTATAAATGTTTGTTTATCACTTGGCCCCTGGTCTCCTGTCATTTTACCAAAATGCAAGCAAGTGGAGTATCCTTGTTCTACACATTTTTGACTGTTACAGCCTGCTTTACTTGCACCTTGCTGGCTGGTTCTTCACAGCTCAGCTGTTCCCTGTTTGTGTTATTATGTTTACCTTAGAAAGAACGACGCCTTCTGGAGAATCTCCGCTTGGACCTGGATTCCTGTAAAACACGTCTGAAGAAGGCCAAGGTGGCTGAGGCTAAGGCTGCGGTGAGTCCTTTGGTACCTCCTAACCCACAGCCCTATTCCCCCACCCATAATGTAATAAAACCTTTGATGGTGCTGGCATTAACCACGACTAACTGTCTGTGTATTTATAACTTTTGCAGTGCGATGGTGAAGTGAGTATTACAAAATTTTTTAAAGACTTTCAGTATGATGCACATGTTTGGTTGTTTTTTTCTGTCTCACTTGCTTTGAGTACATTTTTGTGCCATTCGGTTATAGGTGGCAAGAAACTATAAATCATTGGTTAAACAAAAGCAAAGCAAGAGACTTAAAAAAACAAGTTTGACCTGAAGTTGACTTTCTGTAGAGAAAGCTTGAAACGTGGCACATTAAACAGTATTATGTGATATTAACACCAGCCATTGACCATATTTGACTGTGGCTGGTGTGACTGTTTATTCTACCAGCGACCACAGTACAGTAGCAAAAAGCAACTGTGAGAACAAGTCAGAAGGGGTCTGATGGTTCCTTTAACTCTTGCATCACAACCAGGTTAATGTCTTGGCAAAAAACAAGAAAGAAAGTTGACTGTATCTAAAATCTGTCTGGATGAACTCTTTGCAGGAGGGATCATTGCAATATTATTTGCTCAGGTGTTTTATCACTGTCTAACAGTTCATTTATTCATGAAGGTATTCATGAAAAACAATTTAAACTTTTTAATATTGACTTTAAGCGAATATGTGACCAGCCATGGAAAAACCAGGAACAAGTCTCCCGAGAGGCATTTTGAGTTATTTACAGATTCTGAAAGTGTAGTTTCTAAGCTTTCCAACGATGTCTAACACATGGAAATCTGAAAATATTTGAAGAAGTTGTGGCCATTTGAATGCAGGCACTCCTCAAACTACTTTACTGAGAAATCCAGGCTGAACGAATTTTGAATTCTCAGGTGCCAGGTAACACAATGCTGCTCATTTGCATCTCATTTAGATAAGCCCTACCCCCTACTGGTCTAGCTCTCAGTGACATTTGGTATCTGTTAGACTGCAGGGCAGAAACTATTGTAGTAGTTTGAACAATGTAGTTAATGTTGATGTAGTGTTATTTTCCTTAAGCACTTTATTGGACTGATCAGAATCAGAATGTACTTTATTGAAATGGAAATGCTTTTGTTACAAAAAGCCCCTGAATAAAATTGATCATTGGGGGTGTACTATTCTGTACACAAACGTGTGTTTTGTGTTCCTCTGTGTGTGCGTACGTACGTTTAATCCACAGTAAATGCCCTAAAACTCAAAAATACACGATCAGCCATCCGGTCAAAGTACACACATTAAACAGTTAGAATTTTAAACGTAGGTCTTGGATCAGGATGGTTTGGATCCAGTAGAAAGTGGGACTTACCGGCGTGGGCCCAAGCACTGGGCCCTTTGAGATGAATGGGTGTCCGCTGTCCACAGCTGCAGTCTGTCCAGTGTCCAGAAAACAGCACAGAAGGTGTAAAAATGGGTTCTGGGGTGGCTGAAGTGTTCACAGGGTCTTTCCCTCTCAGGCGGGCAGTATCGTTGTGGTCGATCTGGTTGTAGAATGGAGAAAAAACTAGTATATTGCTAAAAGTTAGCGAAATGCTAAAGTAGTTTGGTGTGGCTGTGTCGGCACCAGTCACACAAGTGTCCCAAAAAGCTTAACATCCGCCGGTCAAACACACGAGATCAGCCATCCACCATCCGGCCAACGTACAGACTTTAAGGCAAATAAAATCTTCAGAAGTGGCAGTTCCTTATGCAGGAGCGGCTGGCTGCATAAGTAGCCATGTGGTTCAGCTGATTGGCCGAAAAAAGAACAAAAGCACGTGAATAGCCAAAGAAAGCCAGTATGCAAATTTACTGTTGTTATCGCCGCACCCCCAACTAGGATCAGAGCATTTCCTCTAAAACAACCCAAATTCAAATACAAAGTTTATGGTTTTAAGGCCACCAATACTGTTGTTTGAAACATGGAGTGGCTTCTTCATGATTTCAACTTACACATTCTGCAAAAAAACAAAAATCACTAATTTAAAAATAATAATAATTTTTTTTTCTTTTTTTTCGACTTGTGCCGGGCCGACTTGTTGCTGGGTTTCTTGTGGCGGGCCACATATTTGTTACAAGCTGAAAAGATTTACTTTCTTTTCTTTGAATGGAGATTAAAGTAATGTATCAGTATTTGACATTTGGATCATAGTAGAGCAATTATCCATTTACAGTCTCTATGACCATACTGGCATGTATGGTTTACCTGAATATTTATAAAATGTACTTCAAATAGAAATATGTTTTCTGAACAGTTTTATACAATGCTGTTGTGAATACCAGCATAGATATTGGTGTAGATACATTTGTTGAAAAAAAAAAAAAAAAACAAAGTAAAAAAATCTGGTGTACAAAACCATCTGAGTGATACTTACCAAAAGCTGAAGGCCCTCTCAAAACCAATTAAGAGCAAAGAGTTGAACCCATACACCCCTACTGTTCTCAGAAAACTTACCTTAACATTTGAGTTTTTATTGTGAAAAAAATGTACAAGACAAGAAAATGCTCAGGGCCCCATTATTCAGAAGTGATATGATCAGATTTTGGTTCGGATCAAATCTTGAAAATTGGTTGTTCCAAAGGATTCTGAAATCAGATTAGATCATGTAATCCAGCCTTGGGTTTGATTTGGATCAAACCCTCAGCATGTCAATCAAACAATCAGTCAATTTTATTTATAAAGCCCAATATCACAAATCACAATTTGCCTCACAGGGCTTTGCAGCATACGACATCCCTCTGTCCTTAGGACCCTCGCAGCCGATAAGGAAAAACACCCCAAAAAGCCTTTTTAACGGGGGAAAAAATGATAGAAACCTCAGGAAGAGCAACTGAGGAGGGATCCCTCTTCCAGGATGGACAGATGTGCGGTAGATGCCGTACAGAATAGATCAACATGATAAATTAACAGTAATCCGTATGACACAATAAGACATAAAGAGAGACAGAGACAGAGAGAGATGCAGGACAGATGGTAATGATAATAGCTTACAACAATATTAATTAAAGTAATAATATTATAATAATAATTACGGCTATTGTGGTACAATATGTTGAAAGTATATATTAATATATGATATTATATGAATGTGACAATAATCATATGTGTATAATAACAGTAGATGTATGACTAGTGATAACAGCAGCAGGAGGCATCAGGCAGGACCACGGCAGCAGCACAACCACACACGTCACACTATCCAGGCACCGCTGCGATATAAGTTAACCTGCGAGACAGTGGAGCACAAAGGCTCCGGAGAAGAAGCCGAGTTAGTGACATGCAGTAGAGCCGAGTTAGTGACATGCAGTAGAGCCTAGTTAGCGAGATGCAGTAACAGGACATAGTGTTAGCAAAGGAGAGAGAGAACGAGAGAGAGAAGGAGAGAAGGTGCTCAGGAGGTCCCCCGGCAGACTAGGCCTAAGTCAGCCTAACTAGGGGCTGGTACAAGGCAAGCCTGAGTCTTCCCTAACTATAAGCTTTATCAAATAGGAAAGTCTTAAGTCTAGTCTTTAATGTGGAGATGGTGTCTGCTTCCCGGACTGCAACAGGAAGATGATTCCACAGGAGAGGAGCCTGATAGCTGAAGGCTCTGGCTCCTGATCTACTTTTGGTGACTTTAGGGACCACTAGTAACCCTGCATTCTCAGAGCGCAGTGTTCTGGTAATGGATAATCGGGCTATGAGCTCTCTAAGCTATGACGCAGCCTGACCATTTAAAGTTTTGTAAGTTAACAGTACGATTTTAAATTCAATTCTGGATTTTACAGCCAGTGCAGAGAAGCTAAAAAAGGAGAAATATGATCTCGTTTCTTAGTTCCTGTTAGTACATGTGCCGCTGCGTTCTGAATTAGCTGGAGAGTTTTTAAAGATTTATTAGAGCTACCTGATAATAGGGAGTTACAGTAATCCAGCCTTGAGGTAACAAAAGCATGGACCAATTTTTCTGCATCTTTTCGGGTCAGGATAAGCCTAATTTTCGCAATAGAGAAAACGATGAGATGAGAAAGATGAGAAAACGCAGTCTGTGAGGTTTGTTTTAAATGAGAATTAAAAGACAAATCTTGGTCAAATATTACTCTGAGGTTTCTTACGGTAGTGCTAGAGGCCAGAGCAATGCCATCCAGGGAAACTATATCATCAGATAGAGTCTCTGAGTTGTTTGGGGCCAAGAATAATAGCTTCAGTTTTGTCTGAATTTAACATCAGGAAATTGGTGCTCATCCAGGTTTTTATGTCTTTAAGGCATTTTTGAAGTTTAGTTAATTGATGAGTTTCTTCTGGCTTTATCGATAAATACAATTGTGTATCATCCGCATAACAATGGAAATTTACAGAGTGATTTCTAATGATGTTACTTAAGGGAAGCATATATAGAGTGAATAGGATTGGTCCGAGCACAAAACCTTGTGGAGCTCCAAAACAAACTTTAGTACATAGAGATGATTCATCATTAACATGAATGAACTGAAATGATCACATAAATAAGATTTAAACCATCTTAGTGCAGAACCTTGTTCAGAACTTTTTAGGGGTGGATTCAGGATGGATTTCAGGAACAAAATGTAATAAAAGTTTTACATCGGTCTAATATATACGCATATATATACATGTATTTATATTGGGCACTTGATTTGTTTAACAGTTATTGTAATAAAGTACATAAAGAGGAAATTTGGCTTTTTATGAAGTCTTGCAGTACAGTAAAGTAGAATCAAATAATCCCAGAAACAGCTGTCAATATTACAGTTTCAAAAAAAAAAACTAAGAAAATTAACGTTACAGTCTCAAAGAACTCCATTTTTTTGTCTTTGGTGGTACTCATGATGGTCAGTGGTAATTGCAGTGTGTTTGTTGGCAGACAAACCTACATTGTGATATGTAGTAAGAGCACTGGTTATCTGGATTTGGTAATGAAAAGTTTGTATTTAGATCAGGGTGATTCAATGATGTGTTGCTTAAAAAACAGCACTAAACTAAGATGGATGAGGTGATCCTGGACAGCAAAGTATCAGGATCATTCTGATCCAGATAAAAAAACTGGGCCCTGGAGTCTGGACAGTCCCAAGGAGACAGACAAATGCCAAAGACGTTGAATGTCTCCAGTGTGCAGCTAAACAAAGGGCCAAATTTTGGCTAAGCGCAGGATTATGTGGATAAAGACAGATTTACACTGGCTGAATGTGATGGGACATCCAACAATACTCCATTAGTTAGGGCTTTAAGAAATAGTTGGCTAGTAGAAGGATACAAATGGTTGTTGTTAAAACTATGAAGGCATTGTGGCCTGTAACCAGAATTAATTATTACTTTATTTTTTTTTCTGGAAAATGAGTACAAATTTGTTATTAAGGCCAAGAATCAGTTTTGATCATTCTTCAAATTGAGAACATGATATTGTGCCAGCAGTACCGACAGAGAGACTTTGTACAAAGTCTGACTTAAGTCTGACATCCTTTCCATATTGTTTGGAACTCTGAGTTGAAAACTTTGTACTGCTCAAGTACAAGCAGGTCATATGCCTGAAATAAAAGGCACTTATTAGTGATAATCCTTCCCCATTCCAGCAACAATTGTGCCTTCAAAACCCCACCTGCTTTTCATGAAGTATTTTTTTGTTTAACTGTTGAACAGAATTAAAGAAGTCTGACTACTATCAGAACTATTTTTTATTTTTTTTCAGTATAAAGATAACAAAGTCACATACTTTTTGACTGACGACATCAGACTTTTGCAACCTGTCTGCATGTAAGCATGCGCATGATAAAGTACTGCTGACTCGCCTTCAAGCTTGTAATAGTGGTGAGTCATATTTACAGAGGATTAGTCAGGTGGGTGAATTAGGAAGATTAGTCACCAGTTTAAATACAGTTGGATTGCATCACCTCTCTGCACCTTTCTTTTATAAGTTCAGACACACCTAAAGTAAAAGTGTGCTGACGGGTATTCCCTGCAAACCACCTCTCCCATCTCTGCTGTTGGTTGGGTAACTTTGGGGCACATAACTGCCATTTTAAATCAAGAATTAAGTAGAAAGTTGTATTTGATATTTTAAATTTAAGTGGTAAAGAAAAGTTAACTTAAGGTCCCCTCCATATTACAAGTGGACCACATGACTGACTGCCTTTATGTTATATTGATGTATTTTCTAAAGTGTTAATATAGTGGAAGAACTGAACTATCCGCCGTTAATACTGCACAGATTGACCTTTTCAGTTATCGGTGCTGTTGTGTAGCTTAAAGTATAGCTTAAAGTATAGCTCATCAAGACCCTGGTTTTATTTCTGCTGTGATTTCTGATTGTTTTGTCTGCATTTCCTCATATATAGTGGCGCTCATTAATCAAACCAACATACAAACCAGCGCAGATCTGAGTGAAACTAATGATAGGAGTAGCATGTAATTCAAGAAACGTTCTTATCTCGTCGATCACAGCATAGAAATGATTGAGTGTTGATAAATGCGACAGCTGAAAACAATTGTCACTGAAATATCCTGCCCCATATTCTCCATCTTGCCCCTAATGTTTACCACATGGAGAGGAGTAATACAGCCAAGAAGAGAAACTTCTCTGAGCTAGAAATAGAAACCCTGATGTCCCAGGTCCAATTTAACAAACTGGTTCTATTTGGCAGCCTGAAGAGTGGCATCAAAGGAAGTTGGAAATACATAGTATGGAAAGAAATCACGGCTGCGGTCTACAGCATTGCACTGGACACCCGAACTCCAGCTTAGGTTGGAATATTTAATTTATACATCCATGATATGTTCCGACCTATAGTCTACATGTATTAGCTTATCTGTCATATTATATTGATATTGTTATAATCATGTTAAAGCTTATAATTGACCCAGACTGAGGAGCACATAGCCCCGTGTATTGGGTCTGCTTTCATTTCAGGCCTAACAGGTGGCAGAGGAGACACAGATGCACCACCTGAGTCCAAGTCAGACAACAGTAAAAATGCAATCCCCTAGGCTAGTAGTATTTAAATATTGACACTGTTGCAGGGTTGTTGTTTTTTTTTCTTTTTGATGATGAATTATATAAACATGCTTTGGCTTGTCAGTCTTAAAAAAAAAAAAAAGACGTTTAGATAAATCTGAGCCGGGCACTAGTGGTGTTCAGCCTTCAGTCAACCTGGAGTCAGTCTCATAGAGCTGGCTGTGATAGAGAGTGTGCATCTATGTGGCAGCTGTACATTCTAAAAGTGATTGAAATGTGGCAAATACTTCAATGCCATCGGAATATGGCCTGAGAATAATTCTCCAACTCGGCCAGATTTACTCTGCTGCACTACACCTCCACGCTGACTCAAACTTGCTTACAGGAGTTGACATCTGACATGAGATTTGATCATAGCCTCCACCCTAATCCACATTGATAAATGCCCAGGTTTGCATGAAGATGACCGTTTGCCCAGTTTTCTGTGGTATGTTCGTTTCGTAAATGAAGGCCTGTGTGTGCTGTAGTATGGTTGCCATGTATACACTGAGTAAACATTAGTATACATGTTGAATAACTTTACTGTTTCTTTAGACGGCTCCAGATTTTCAGGAGACCAGACCACGTAACTACGTGCTTTCTGCCAGTGCCTCAGCGGTAAGGAAACAATTAAATTTTACTAACAAAACTGGACATTTACAATCATCTGTTAAAAATAAAGTAACCTTGTCAGGTTCCATGAACACAGTTCAATCAGGACCATAGTGCTTTTAACTGAGGTCATGAATGGTTGCCAGAACTGGGTGGGAAAGTCACATTTATCTGGGTTATTCTTCTTCTTGGTTTATTGTAATGGTTCTTAATCAAATTTTCAGGATGTGCTGTGTAATACCAGTCACTTATTGTAAGTAGCTTTGTTTTTGTTCTTTGTTAATGTTTAGTCAGAGAGGTATTCCATCAGGTAAGAGTGGTGATTATGACTCAGAGTTGCATTCCTAACCTCTGTGTCAGCTCTTGAATTATGTAGCAATGATAACTGTTGGCATACCATTAATAGCAAGCATCTAAAAGCCCAGCCAAGAATGTTGTTAATTAATTTGTCGTAATTGCTGTACTTTTCACTGCTTCAAAGCTAAAGCACATCTTTCAGGACTAAAGCTTGAAATTCAAAATCTTTTTCTGCCACCTTCATTGATACAGGATTTTTTCAGCAGATAGATTGATTACATTTCCTGTTCAGCTTACCTTCTTTGGAACCTACAGTTTTGTGTGTTCAACAAAGTAGTAAGCACAATGTTGCAATTATTACTATATACTTACACATTAAAGAGAACCTGAACTCCAGCCTGAGAGGCAGTGTGTGACTACCATCTGAGTATTACAATAATAAACACCTAAAAAAAACACACCTGCCCAAAATTTTGAACAAAAGTAATTTAGAAAAATGATCTTGGCAAACCTTTTTTTCACATTTTTTCACATTAAAAAAGAGGAACATAGAAAGATTATCCTGGCAAAAAAAAATTCACCTCTTCTTATGCATAAACACAGAAGAGAAAATAGTTTAGATGAGACTTAGAAGATGGAAAAAAAAAGAAACAAAAACAGAAAAGTAAAATACTCACATATCAAACTTAATAGTATTGTGGACATTGTAATGTCAAAGTGTTCCCAACCTGGGCCTAGAAAATGGTCTGTAACACTGGTCAACTCGTTGTCAAAAACATTTAAGCTATCAAATACGCCCAACCCAGCCCGAATAAAATGTTTATTAAACTGACTGACCATGGCAGCTTTGTCCTTTATTTCATCTGAGCCAACCAGGATTTGTTGTGGGAGGCTTGAGGCAATGTGTATACCGGATAAAGATTTAATTGATTTCCAGCATTTTGAGGGGTTATTTAGGTTCTCTGTCATTGACTTCAGATTTCTAATCAGAAAGGTACACTATTCAAATAAACACAAGAAGTTTGTGCTCTAATTAAAAAAAAAAAAAAAAAAAGGGATCAGCGCTCAGTGAATAATCCTCCTAAGCCCTACAATAAGCTATTATGGCAAGGCTTAACTATACAGACCCATGAGCAGTGATAACTAACATGTCTTTGGGGTCATCGGGTGGGAACCTCCTTTCACCGGTGTTTCGTCTAGTTAGTCCCACGACACCTCCAGGAGGCTAGACAGTGATCTCTGGCGTCCCAGAGACACTCCCCTAATGCCAGGTCTCACTGCTCCCCACACTAACCGAACAACCTCCTTTACCTTACCTATACAACCACAGAGGAGGTAGACCCAGGGAAGGAAGCCTTGTTAGGCTATCACACTCCCCCGCCGGGTTAGGCTGTACAGTCTACCTCCCCAGGACGAGCCCTCACAACAATGACACCTCCAGGAGGCTGGACAGTGATCTCAGCCCAAACAACGCTGCCAACTTCAACCAAGCCCAGGCTCCGTTTATGCGAGCTCCAGGCAGAAGCAATGCTGATACTACCTTTACTAGCACATTCACCATACTCTATTTCACACGCTACATAGCATAACTACAATGTAAGCTAAAGTTAAAGGAGATACATGAACTCACAGGATCAGCAAACACACTCACTTTGCAGCATGGTCTCAAACAAAATGGATTCAAATAGGCCACTCCCACACTTAAATAACCTTCCTCTTCCTGGATTTCCTTCTTACTTACACATGGCTTTCTCAGCCCAAACAGCACTGCCATCTTCAACCAAACCCAGGCTCCATACATGCGAGCTCCAGGCAGAAGCAATGCTGATACTAGCTTTCCTGTCACATTCACCATACTCTATTTCACACACTACATAGCATAACTACAATATAAGCTAAAGTTAAAGGAGCTAACTGGACTTACAGGATCAGCAAGCACACTCACCTTGCCGCATGGCCTCAAACAAAATGGATTCCAATAGGCCACTCCCACACTTAAATACTTCCTCTTCCTGGATTTCTCCTGACAGGAAGTGGATCTCTCCACCTGATCTCAAGGAGTTATAAACTAAGAATGAACACTACAAAAAGAAAGGAATCTTTACAAACTAAGCTTGCCAAACAAAAAATTCTCAAATGGCTAGAATCAAATCACAAAACCAACGTTAGCCAACATAGATTTTTTCTCAAGCCCAACACAAGAGCTCAAGAAAGCACAGACACAGAAAAACAAAATTACTAGCAGCTGCATGTGTCAGTGATTGGTTAGAGCAAAACTTAATCGTTTTCTCTTTGAAATAAGATGAGGTAATGTCAGATTTGATTGACTTGAATATCAGGCGAGACACTATCTTGATCCAAAACCAAGGTTTGCCTACATTTACTCCAGCCTTAACCATCAGAATACATTCATCTTACATACATCTTCCAGGGAGTAAACATTAGGTTGTGTAATGTGGTACTGAGATTAGACACTACATGTACACTGCTCAAAAAATAAAGGGAACACTTAAATCACACATCCCAGATTTCGGTGAATGAAACATTCCAGATGACAATCTTTATTGATTACATAGTGTAATTCGTTGAGAACAAAATAATGCAAGAACAATCCATGGAAACCAAAATCATTTCAAACTCATTTAGGACTGGATTCAGAATCATACCCAAAGTCAAAGTGGAAAAATCAGATCACAGGCTGATCCAACTTCTGTGAATTTCCTCAGGACAACTCATAATGTGGCTCAGTAGTGTGTATGGCCTCCACATGCCTGTATACATACCCTACAACGTCTAGGCATGCTCCTGATGAGACGACGGATGGTCTCCTGGGGGATCTCCTCCCAGACCTGGATCAGGGCATCGGTCAGCTCCTGGACAGTCTGTGGTGCGATGTGGTGGCGGTGGATGCTACGATACATGATGTCCCAAAGGTGCTTGATTGGATTCAGGTCTGCGGAATGGGCGGGCCAGTCAATAACATCAATGCCTTCATTTCATCATCCAGGAACTGATGACACACTCCAGCCACATGAGGCATGAGGTATGATTGTCATGCATGAGGAAGAACCCAGGGCCCACTGCACCAGCATATGGTCTTACAATGGGTCTGAGGATCTCATCCCGGTACCTAACAGCAGTCAGGGTACCTCTGGCTAGCACGTGGAGGTTTGTGCGGCCCTCCACGGATATGCCTCCCCAGACCATCACTGACCCACCACCAAACCGGTCATGCTGGAGGATGTTGCAGGCAGCAGAACATTCTCCATGGGGTCTCCAGACCCTGTCACATGTGCTCAGTGTGAACCTGCTCTCATCTGTGAAGAGAACAGGGCGTCAGTGGCGAATCTGCCAATTGTGGTGTTCCCTTGCAAATGTAAATTGGGCTGCACGTTGCCGGGGTGTGAGCACAGGCCCCACTTGTGGACGTCGGGCCCTCATGCCACCCTCATATAGTCTCTTTCTGTAGTCTTTCTCTTTCCTCCTTGCACAAAGAAGCAGATAGCGGTCCTGCTGCTGGGTTGTTGCCCTCCTATGGCCCCCTCCACCTCTCTTGGTGTACTGGCCTGTCTCCTGGTATCTCCTCTATGCTCTTGACACTGTGCTGGGAGACACAGCAAACCTTCTGGCCACTGTGCATATGGATGTGCCATCCTGGAGTAGCAGTACTACCTGAGCAACTTCTGTGGCCTGCAGAAGCTGCCTCATGATACCACTAGTGGTGAGGGCACTGGAAAAATGCAAAACTAGCCAAGAATCAACCAGAAGTTATGCAGAGAGGGAAATGGTCTGTGGCCACCACCTGCAAAAGCATTCCTCAATAGGGGTTGTCTTGGTAATTGCCTCTCCTTTCCACCTGTTGTCTGTCCAGTTTGCACAACAGCAGGTGAAATTGATTCGCAATCAGTATTGCTTCCTAACTGGATAGGTTGATATCCCAGGAGTTTGATTGACTTTGAGTTACACTGTGATGATTATGTGTTCCCTTTATTTTCTTTCAATTCAATTCAATTTTATTTATAAAGCCCAATATCACAAATCACAATTTGCCTCACAGGGCTTTACAGCATACGACATCCCTCTGTCCTTATGACCCTCGCAGCGGATAAGGAAAAACTCCCCAAAAAAACCCCTTTAACGGGGAAAAAAAACGGTAGAAACCTCAGGAAGAGCAACTGAGGAGGGATCCCTCTTCCAGGACGGACAGACGTGCAATAGATGTCGTACAGAACAGATCAGCATAATAAATTAACAGTAATCCATATGACACAATGAGACAGAGAGAGAGAGAGAGAGAGAGAGAGAGAGAGAGAGAGAGAGAGAGATGCAGGTAATGACAGTAGCTTACAACAACATTATTGAAAGTAATAATATTATAGTTATAGTTCTGGCTACTGTGGTACAATATGTTGAAAGTATGTATTAATATCTGGCAGTATACATGTGTGACAATAGTCATATGTGTATAATAACAGTAGAAGTATGACTAATGACTAATGATGGCAGCAGCAGCAGGAGGCATCTGGCAGGACCACGGCAGCAGCACAACCACACACGTCACGCTGTCCAGGCACCGCTGCGATATGAGTTAATCTGAGAGACAGTGGAGCACAAAGGCTCCGGAGAAGAAGCCGAGTTAGTGACATCCAGAATGGCCGAGTTAGCAAGATGCAGTAATAGGATGAGAGTGAGAGAGAGAGAGAGAGAGAGAGAGAGAGAGAGAGAGAGGGAGAGAGAGGGAGCCCGGTGTATTATAGGGGGTCCTCCGGCAGACTAGGCCTAAGTCAGCCTAACTAGGGGCTGGTACAGGGCAAGCCTGAGCCAGCCCTAACTATAAGCTTTATCAAAGAGGAAAGTCTTAAGTCTAGTCTTAAATGTGGAGACGGTGTCTGCCTCCCGGACCGTAACAGGAAGATGATTCCACAGGAGAGGAGCCTGATAGCTGAAGGCTCTGGCTCCTGATCTACTTTTGGAGACTTTAGGGACCACGAGTAACCCTGCGTTCTCAGAGCGCAGTGTTCTGGTGGGATAATATGGCACTATGAGCTCTCTAAGATATGACGGAGCTTGACCATTTAGAGCTTTATAAGTTAACAGTAGGATTTTAAATTCAATTCTGGATTTTACAGGGAGCCAGTGCAGAGAAGCTAAAACAGGAGAAATATGATCTCGTTTCTTAGTTCCTGTTAGTACACGTGCTGCTGCATTCTGAATTAGCTGGAGAGTTTTTAAGGACTTACTAGAGCTACCTGATAATAGAGAGTTACAGTAATCCAGCCTTGAGGTAACAAAAGCGTGGACCAATTTTTCTGCATCTTTTCGGGTCAGGATAGGCCTAATTTTCGCAATATTACGCAGATGAAAAAATGCAGTCCGTGAGGTTTGCTTTAAATGAGAATTAAAAGACAAATCTTGATCAAATATTACTCCGAGGTTTCTTACGGTAGTGCTAGAGGCCAGAGCAATGCCATCTAGAGAAACTATGTCATCAGATAAAGAGTCTCTGAGTTGTTTGGGGCCAAGAACAATAACTTCAGTTTTGTCTGAATTTAACATCAGGAAATTGGTGCTCATCCAATTTTTTATGTCTTTAAGGCAGTTATGGAGTTTAGTTAATTGATTACTTTCTTCTGGCTTCATCGATAAATACAACTGTGTATCATCCGCATAACAATGGAAATTTATAGAGTGATTTCTAATGATGTTACCTAAAGGAAGCATATATAGAGTAAATAGGATTGGTCCGAGCACAGAACCTTGCGGAACTCCAAAACAAACTTTGGTACGTAAGGATGATTCATTACGAACGTCAACAAATTGAAAACGATCAGATAAATAAGATTTAAACCAGCTTAGTGCTGAACCTTTTAGGCCAATTAAGTGATCCAGTCTCTGCAGTAGAATTTGATGGTCAATTGTGTCAAACGCCGCACTAAGATCTAATAAAACAAGAACAGAGACGAGTCCTTTGTCTGAAGCAATCAGAAGGTCATTTGTAATTTTAACTAGAGCTGTCTCAGTGCTATGATGCACTCTAAATCCTGACTGAAATTCCTCAAATAAATTATTATCCTGGAGAAAATCACACAGCTGGTCTGCGACTACTTTCTCAAGGATCTTTGACATAAAGGGAAGATTAGATATTGGTCTATAGTTGGCTAACACCTCTGGATCCAGGGTGGGCTTTTTTAGGAGAGGTTTAATTACAGCTACCTTAAAAGACTGTGGTACATAGCCTGTTAATAGGGATATATTGATCATATCTAATATATGAGTGTTAACTAAAGGAAAGACCTCCTTAAGTAGCCTAGTTGGGATGGGGTCTAAGAGACACGTTGATGATTTAGATGAAGAAATCACTGCGGTCAATTCTTGAAGAGAAATTGGGGAGAAGCAATCTAAATATATATTAGATTCTACAGCTGTGTTTGAGGTTAGATAGGTAGGCCTACCATCTGAGGGCAGGAGGTCATGAATTTTGCCTCTAATAGTTAGAATTTTGTCATTAAAAAAGCTCATAAAATCATTACTGCTAAGGGCTAAAGGAATACAAGGCTCAATAGAGCTTTGACTCTCAGTCAGCCTGGCTACAGTGCTGAAAAGAAACCTGGGGTTGTTCTTGTTTTCTTCTATTAATGCTGAGTAATAGTTTGCTCTGGCATTGCGGAGGCCCCTCTTATAAGTTTTGAGACTGTCTGTCCAGATTAAACGAGATTCTTCCAGTTTGGTTAATCGCCAATTCCTTTCAAATTTTCGCGATATTTGTTTTAACCTACGGGTTTGAGAGTTATACCAAGGAGCAAACTTTCTTTGCTTTGTTAAGAGGAGCTACAGAGTCGAGCGTTGTTCGCAGCAAGCCTACGGCGCTATCAACAAAATGATCAATTTGGGAGAGGTTAAAGTTGGCACGGGAAACCTCTGTTACTGAAGGTATTGGTATTGAATTTAACGACGAAGTAATCTTTTCCTTAAATTTTGTGACAGCACTATCTGATAAACATCTAGTATAGTAACTGTGACACTTTGAGCAGTGTACATTACACTAGTGAAGGCCCTCTGGGATATCCTGCTCTAACTTATATTTTTTTCTTCTTCTTTTGTTGTATGCTTTGGCCTCTCAGCTCTGGAGTGAGGAAGTGGAAAAAGTAAGTACGGCAGTGTTGTGGTTGTGACTTTGTCTTACTGCCTGGTGTCCAGGATTACTGCTTTAATGTGCTTCATGTGAACTACCATGTGTTTCCAACCATGTCTAATAATAAAAATGCTTATACCTGTTTTGGCTGGCCACACTAAAAGGCATTTCCCAACATAGTGAATTGTAACTGGGGATAATGATACACACTTAAAGCCTTTGCACACCAAGTCTGTACCTTTTGATGTAAATTGTTGCATGTATATAAATAAATGCGACCTCAATTTGTGTCAATCACATTTACGCACTGACTTCAAAACCTTGTTCTGTCATTTAAGTTTTAAGAACAGTTTTAAATTTGTTTTTAAACACATCCGTCAAAAGAGTTGTTGACACAGGAGAGATGACAAAAAATGTGGTGTATCTGCAAAAAAAACATCTGCAACAAGAGAAGGGAACAGGGCAGAAGAGAAAAGCGGGCCAGCAAGATAAAGAAGTGGAGATACAGTACAGGCCAAAAGTTTGGACACACCTTCTCATTCAATGCGTTTTCTTTATTTTCATGACTATTTACATTGTAGATTCTCACTGAAGGCATCAAAACTATGAATGAACACATGTGGAGTTATGTACTTAACAAAAAAAGGTGAAATAACTGAAAACATGTTTTATATTCTAGTTTCTTCAAAATAGCCACCCTTTGCTCTGATTACTGCTTTGCACACTCTTGGCATTCTCTCCATGAGCTTCAAGAGGTAGTCACCTGAAATGGTTTCCACTTCACAGGTGTGCCTTATCAGGGTTAATTAGTGGAATTTCTTGCTTTATCAACCCGCCGTGTCTTTGTGAGACGCAGAAAAGGTGAACGGATGGATTCCACATGCCTGGTTCCCACTGTGAAGCATGGAGGAGGAGGTGTGATGGTGTGGGGGTGTTTTGCTGGTGACACTGTTGGGGATTTATTCAAAATTGAAGGCACACTGAACCAGCATGGCTACTACAGCATCCTGCAGCGACATGCCATCCCATCCGGTTTGCGTTTAGTTGGACGATCATTTATTTTTCAACAGGACAATGACCCCAAACACACCTCCAGGCTGTGTAAGGGCTATTTGACCAAGAAGGAGAGTGATGGAGTGCTGCGGCAGATGACCTGGCCTCCACAGTCACCGGACCTGAACCCAGTCGAGATGGTTTGGGGTGAGCTGGACCGCAGAGTGAAGGCAAAGGGGCCAACAAGTGCTAAACACCTCTGGGAACTCCTTCAAGACTGTTGGAAAACCATTTCAGGTGACTACCTCTTGAAGCTCATGGAGAGAATGCCAAGAGTGTGCAAAGCAGTAATCAGAGCAAAGGGTGGCTATTTTGAAGAAACTAGAATATAAAACATGTTTTCAGTTATTTCACCTTTTTTTGTTAAGTACATAACTCCACATGTGTTCATTCATAGTTTTGATGCCTTCAGTGAGAATCTACAATGTAAATAGTCATGAAAATAAAGAAAACGCATTGAATGAGAAGGTGTGTCCAAACTTTTGGCCTGTACTGTATATGAAAGCAATCTCCCTCTTTAAATCTTCAACAACAAAGAGAAGATATCATTGGCCTATTCAGAAATGCACAGCAGCAATGATGATGCTTAGAGCAGAGTGGATTTTATTGGCTGCACTGTATGATTTTATAACTCATGTAGCTGAATACAAGATGCAGGCAGAGCATCGTGACAGCCATGGAGGTAACTCCAGTGGAGAGAAGCAAGGGAGCAAATGCGTCTTTCCATTTTTGCAACAAATAAAACAATAGAATGCATTGGACTCAGTGTGCAGGGTTTCAGTTGTATGTGATGACTTTTAGCGGATGACAGATTAAAAAAAAAAAAAAAAAAGCATATGAAAAATACAGGCTTGGTTTGCAAAGGCCTTTATAGTTGTGAAGGGGGCTTCAGAAATTGTTAGACAACCTGCCAAGCTCTTAATTTGAAGCATGCTGAGGCCTTGATCCCCACACTATTGATCCAACTCCTAGCCTATTTGTTTTTACTCTTACCACTCTTCTGCACATAGTACAGTACAGTGTACAAACAACTAAAGACTACAAAACAACTTAAGTCTTCCCTTGTTATACATACTCCTCAGTATAAATTACATCAAATGTGTTTCTTCTTAGGGTTGAGGGGCATGAAAACATTTGAAACATCTTCATCTACAGTACAGGCCAAAAGTTTGGACACACCTTCTCATTCAATGCGTTTTCTTTATTTTCATGACTATTTACATTGTAGATTCTCACTGAAGGCATCAAAACTATGAATGAACACATGTGGAGTTATGTACTTAACAAAGAAAGGTGAAATAACTGAAAACATGTTTTATATTCTAGTTTCTTCAAAATAGCCACCCTTTGCTCTGATTACTGCTTTGCACACTCTTGGCATTCTCTCCATGAGCTTCAAGAGGTAGTCACCTGAAATGCTTTTCCAACAGTCTTGAAGGAGTTCCCAGAGGTGTTTAGCACTTGTTGGCCCCTTTGCCTTCACTCTGCGGTCCAGCTCACCCCAAACCATCTCGACTGGGTTCAGGTCCGGTGACTGTGGAGGCCAGGTCATCTGCCGCAGCACTCCATCACTCTCCTTCTTGGTCAAATAGCCCTTACACAGCCTGGAGGTGTGTTTGGGGTCATTGTCCTGTTGAAAAATAAATGATCGTCCAACTAAACGCAAACCGGATGGGATGGCATGTCGCTGCAGGATGCTGTGGTAGCCATGCTGGTTCAGTGTGCCTTCAATTTTGAATAAATCCCCAACAGTGTCACCAGCAAAACACCCCCACACCATCACACCTCCTCCTCCATGCTTCACAGTGGGAACCAGGCATGTGGAATCCATCCGTTCACCTTTTCTGCGTCTCACAAAGACACGGCGGTTGGAACCAAAGATCTCAAATTTGGACTCATCAGACCAAAGCACAGATTTCCACTGGTCTAATGTCCATTCCTTGTGTTTCTTGGCCCAAACAAATCTCTTCTGCTTGTTGCCTCTCCTTAGCAGTGGTTTCCTAGCAGCTATTTGACCATGAAGGCCTGATTCGCGCAGTCTCCTCTTAACAGTTGTTCTAGAGATGGGTCTGCTGTAATGATGGCCACTCGTTTTTTTCTGGTTAGCTGATTGGTTCTTGCCATAATATGAATTTTAACAGTTGTCCAATAGGGCTGTCGGCTGTGTATTAACCTGACTTCTGCACAACACAACTGATGGTCCCAACCCCATTGATAAAGCAAGAAATTCCACTAATTAACCCTGATAAGGCACACCTGTGAAGTGGAAACCATTTCAGGTGACTACCTCTTGAAGCTCATGGAGAGAATGCCAAGAGTGTGCAAAGCAGTAATCAGAGCAAAGGGTGGCTATTTTGAAGAAACTAGAATATAAAACATGTTTTCAGTTATTTCACCTTTTTTTGTTAAGTACATAACTCCACATGTGTTCATTCATAGTTTTGATGCCTTCAGTGAGAATCTACAATGTAAATAGTCATGAAAATAAAGAAAACGCATTGAATGAGAAGGTGTGTCCAAACTTTTGGCCTGTACTGTATGTGTATAATAACAGTAGAAGTATGACTAATGATAACAGCAGCAGCAGGAGGCATCTGGCAGGACCACAGCAGCAACACAACCACACACGTCACACTATCCAGGCACCGCTGCAATATGAGTTAACCTGAGAGACAGTGGAGCACAAAGGCTCTGGAAGTTTAAGTGTCTTCATAATCTAGTCTGGACCTTAGAAGTATCCCGAGAAATATAAATGTAAATATTTCACTATGTTCTTACTATTGTTTCAGGCTGAACATGAACTCCGAGTGGCTCAAACAGAGTTTGACCGCCAAGCAGAGGTCACACGGCTGTTGTTGGAAGGCATCAGTAGTACTCATGTATGTCAGCTACACACCCACCACTACCTCTCCCTCTCTCACACACACACACACACACACACACACACACACACACACACACACACACACACAATCCAGGTTGCATTTGTAGTGACTGTATTTATTCACTTTTGTGAATCAACTCGTGGGTTGTTAAAAAAATCACACCCTTCATAGCACATAAGTCATTTTCAAAAGTTTGCAGTAAAGTCACTGTTTACCTGTGGTTTATTGCACAGTTAATAAGTAATGTAAAATCAATAATCTTAATGCTGTCAGTTAAATAAACATATATTACCGTTAAAACACTTTATAGTATGCATGGTTAAAGTTTAAGTGAAATCTGAGAAGGTATCTGCCTTTATTGTTCATAAAAATGGATGACAAAAACTCAGTTAAACACTCTGGAGACATACTTTACTGTGAAATGCAGTAAACATCGTCCTCTTTGAGCTGGAAACACTTAAACATTTAGTTGCACTTGTGAGGACATAAAAACAGAATGAAAGTGGATCTGCTGCATCGCTTAACAAGAACACACCCAAAATAAATTGGTTCTGATTTAACCATTTGATAAAAAATCATCTTCACAAAGGTAATTCTTTTGATTTTGATATTTGAATACCAAATTAGTCTAAGTGATGCTTACACTGGCACAGACTGGGTGAACCTTTTTTTTTAAAGGTTTCCCATTTTTAAATGTTTTTAAATATATATATTTTTTGTTTCGCTGTTCTCTTTTGTATGCAGTGCTAGAAAATAAGCAACCGTTTTAACAGGGATATTGGTACTCCAAGATGGTTTACACAGTCTAGTTACAAGTTACATACACTACTCTATGCGCAAAATCTCTGTCTTTTAGTCATTTTAGTCTGTAAGAGTCCTTAAACCTTAAAAAATCGGACAATGTATGAATACTCAGTTCAGGTATTTTCTAAAACTGATTTTTCATGATTCTTGTGCAGTGTCCTGCCTCATTATGCCTCTGTGCTGGTGATAGCTGTGGCCTGAGGCATTATGGTTTTGGGGTTGTCCATCTGAACGTCCGTCTATCCATCCGCCCCATTTTCACAAACACAATATCTCATGAACGTCTTCAAGAATTTCTGAAATTTGGTACAAACGTTCATTTGGACTTATTAATAAACTTGTCAGATTCTGGTGGGCGAAGGTCAATTCACTGTGACCTTGGGTCCATCTCAATCTCGTGAATGTGATATCTCACAGAGACTTTTAGAGATTTTTTTTTCATATATGGTACAACTGTTCACTTGGACTCAACGATGAACTGATTAGATTTTGATGGTCAATGGTCATTGTGACCTTTGACCATCTCATTCTTGTGAATGCGATATCTCAAAAGGCCTTTAGGGAGTATTGTCAAATTTGGCAGAAATGTTCACTTGGTCTCAAGGATGAACTGATTAGAATTTGGTGGTCAAAGGTCAAGGTCACTGTGACCTCTCAAAACATGGCTTTGGCCATACCTCAAGAATACAGATGTAATTATGACAAAATCTTACACAAATGTCTAACAGGACAAAATGATGAAGTGATGACATTTTATATCGAAAAGGTCAAAGGTCAGCTTCACTGTGACCTTAATATGTTGTGCAGAAACACTTTTCTGGCCATTACTCAATGTCTTAACTCAGGTACAGAGGGGGAGATATTTGGTCATACACTGAATTGGTGACACTATTCTTGTGTGTAGACCTTGAAACTGTGCTGATTTCCTTTTTAGAAGGTGTTTTTTAACCAAACTGATTTCAAATAGAATATAGTTAAATGAAGTGTTCTTACTGCACTTACACTTTCCATTTAAAAAAATAGATCAAATAAATGCATAGGAGGTAATTATATACACCGTCGCCTTTGTGAGATTAGGGCATTTGCAGATTAAACCTCCCAACAGTATAGAGAATGATTAAAATTACTTGCACAATGATCAGTTACACTATAGGCTACTTGCATAATAATACATCAGTAATATGATAGGAGATACTATAGTATGTATACAACACCTTTTACTCTAGGAGTATTTGACATTGTGGTATTACTACTTTTGCTGAAGTAAAGGATCTGAGTACTTCTTCATGGAGGTGAGCTTAAAAATCTATGTTTCTTTAAGAGTGACTGTTGCGTTGTTGCTTATTTGCAGGTGAACCACTTGCGCTGTCTGCATGAGTTTGTGGAGGCCCAAGCAGCTTATTATAAGCAGTGTCATTTCCACATGCAAGAACTCCAGAAAGAGCTGGGAAGGTGAGAACCAGTGTGGCGATAACATGACTAGATGGTTTGATTCACACAAGTTTCATTGAGCTTTACAGAGGCAGCCATTCATCCTCATACAGTACACAGTGAAATGAGCAATCAACTTCTATTTTGTAATGGTATCAAATTACTAAATGATAGTATTGCAGGTCTTTGAGTTGACAAGCTGTATGCCAACCCTAAGTATGTTAAAGATTACCCGGGGAATGCTTCTCCACCATTGAAAATTTAATTGATCCAACTACTAACCAAAAATGTTGGTGTATTCCTGCGACATTGGTTACAGCGGTGCAGTTATTTCAAGCGTCAGGATGTTTGTGTTGGGATAATTGAGCAGTGTGTACTGTAAACAACCCTAATGAGGGCAATGATGCAGGCACAGCTGTATGGAGCTTTTTTCCTATCTTTATTCAAGAGAGTGGTTTATGAGTTTGAGAGCATTATTGATTTCATGTTCAGATTTTGTAATATCGTCCCTCAAAACCCTGCCCTCGCACTCAAATAGCCTCTGCTTGCGCCTAGATCTGCTCAAACTGTGTGCTCGCACTCAGATACAATGTTGCTTGCACAGATTTCCTGCTCCAGCTGCAGCTCTTCTCCTCACGCTCAGGCTGCTTCTGTGTGCTTGAGGAATTTCTGCCTTACGCTTGGACTTTTTTGTGTAACAACCCTGTCAAAATCCCCCAACCAATAGAACGCCAGGTTTATTGTTGACCAATGAAATGATCCCTGCCTCCTTGCGGGCACGCTCGCTTTAGTTTTAGAGCGTCCCGTCCGGGATGTTCTTCCCTTGCTTTCTGTACGACTTTTGGAATAAAGGGACTGTTAATTCACACACGTCAATCAATCAATCAATCAATTTTATTTATAAAGCCCAATATCACAAATCACAATTTGCCTCACAGGGCTTTACAGCATACGACATCCCTCTGTCCTTATGACCCTCACAGCGGATAAGGAAAAACTCCCCAAAAAAACCCCTTTAACGGGGAAAAAAAACGGTAGAAACCTCAGGAAGAGCAACTGAGGAGGGATCCCTCTTCCAGGACGGACAGACGTGCAATAGATGTCGTACAGAACAGATCAGCATAATAAATTAACAGTAATCCATATGACACAATGAGAGAGAGAGAGAGAGAGAGAGAGAGAGAGAGAGATGCAGGTAATGACAGTAGCTTACAACAACATTATTGAAAGTAATAATATTATAGTTATAGTTCTGGCTACTGTGGTACAATATGTTGAAAGTATGTATTAATATCTGGCAGTATACATGTGTGACAATAGTCATATGTGTATAATAACAGTAGAAGTATGACTAATGACTAATGATGGCAGCAGCAGCAGGAGGCATCTGGCAGGACCACGGCAGCAGCACAACCACACACGTCACGCTGTCCAGGCACCGCTGCGATATGAGTTAATCTGAGAGACAGTGGAGCACAAAGGCTCCGGAGAAGAAGCCGAGTTAGTGACATCCAGAATGGCCGAGTTAGCAAGATGCAGTAATAGAATACGAGAGAGAGAGAGAGAAGGAGAGAAGGTGCCCGGTGTATTATGGGGGGTCCTCCGGCAGACTAGGCCTAAGTCAGCCTAACTAGGGGCTGGTACAGGGCAAGCCTGAGCCAGCCCTAACTAGCTTATAAGCTAGCACCCGTATTTTTTACTATAATAGCCGCATAGAAAATATGGGTCCCAACAATTCATTTTTGTCCTCTGTGGAGGACATTAGTCTAACTAGTGTAACTCAAGTATTCTTTATGGTATCCATTTGGGTCAAATTGTGTTCTGAAGAGGACATCCAGGGCTTTCTAATGATGTAGATATTATGTGGGTGGGGTTAACAGGGCAAACACACACCCTTTTCAAAACGTTGAATGTACATTACCATGCATCTACGGTAGGATACTACCTAAAAGGAGGATTTCGGGAAACTTCTTGCTCTATTTCCTTTAAACAATGACATTTCTTGCTGAGAGTGTATTCACACATATAGTATCTATAAAGCTTCACTCCACTGTTCTTTACCCTTCCTAGGCCACCACACACAATAAAGTTTACCTGGTCTTTGGGGTCCGTCACACAGGGGTCACGGGTCAAACTATGGGGCTCCCCATCACTTCTTATTGCCTGGGCAAGTGCTAAATGACGACATAGCAAGCATTACACCTCATCACATCATAGATAGTGAGGGGTGAGTGCAGTTGGACCACCAGGCCTTAAACCCAGTCGTATAGGGTACCAATCCTGCACCCTGTCAGACCCATTGGTATAGCTATTAAGAATACACTCTACCTTGCTACAGCTATCCATCATAGTGTTAAGCATTGGAGACAGCCACATAATAATTCCAGGGGAGTAAAAGTCCTTTGTAGCTCATATATTTAGAGATAAAGCATAAAATACCCCATAGTCCCATTGTAACTCAATTGAAACTCATTGACTAACTCTGGAAATTGAAGACCCGACTAAGTCCCGTTGTCCTCTACAGAGGACATGTGATAAAAATATGTATATACACACAGTGGAAACCGCTTATAGTGATCACTTCCGTCTGGTTTAAATTGATCACTATAAGCGGATAATTATTATAACCAGTTTTGGTTTTTTTTCTCTCTGAATTTCTCATGCAGATTACCATCTAATTGACATTCGTATATTTGTTACATGAATATTCCTCTCATTCACCGGCTTTCTCGCTACCACTGCTCGCTCACCTCATCCATTCTCTAGCTCGCTCGACCACTGCTTCTCTCTCTCTTTTTTTTAAAACATGAGTCTCAAAGCCGTCAGCAAAGCCTAACTTTACTTTTAACGTTATCAAAGAAAGAGAAATGTCCTCTTTCTTCCTGTGGCAGGGTTGTAAAGCGTTACAGGTTGTGTTTCTCCTAATGTCGATTCTGGTTCAACTTTCTCGCTGCGGCGCCCACCCCCCGCTGCCATGCACAACACACAACCGCCCATTGCCAGCTGGTGACCTGAGGCTGGTGACGTGTGCACATTGAAATCATGACGGAGAAAAGAAAAGGAAAAAGTCATTTTCTCTCAATGTAAAACGTAGTCTCACTGATATTTATGACAAACTGCTAAAAACGAGCCAACGAGATGCAGCAGCGAAACAAGCATTTGAAACAGTCAGTAACATTCATTAAATAGCGAAGCTGCCCGTTTCATTACTTTATATTAATTTAACAAATATACAAATGTCAATTAGATGGTAATCTGCATGAGAAATTCAGAAGAAAAAAAAAATCGGTTATAATAATTATCCGCTTACAGTGATCAATTTGACCCGGACAGAAGTGATCCCTGTAAGCGGTTACCACTGTGTGTGTGTGTGTGTGTGTGTGTGTGTGTGTATAAATATTATATTCTATGCGGCTATTATAGTAAAAAATTACGGACGCACGTGTGTAAATTAACTTGACGTCTGAATTTATTTACAATTATATAAAAATATTAATTATATGTGCTTTTGCTTTCAAGCTGATGCTTAATTAAGTGGAGATTGTTAATTTGTCTATAGCACATAGACTAGATATAAATTTGGGTATGATGCAAATTAGCTACAACAGGCATAAATGGAAAAAATGGTAAAAAAAAAAAAAAAAAGTAATAACACATTTTCCCGTCTCAGGTATGTAGATTTATTAATGCCATGTAATTATTTTCAATGTCCTGACTATAACACCAACTATTATAGTTCAATGTGAAACAGAGCTCAAGCTTTTCACTTAGAACACTGGTGCTAGGAAGTGCATCATGATTTACATCGGAGTCTCCATCACTGCTGCTCCTGTTGTCAGTATTCTCACTACTGCTGCTTTCATCACCTGGTGTAGAAAAAAGAAATCACCATAGAAAAGTGCAGACATTTTTATCTACATTATATACACATCATGTACACATGATTACATTCACAAATATATGGCCATATGTAAACGATAAAAAGCTGAAACTCTACACGAAATCATAGCATTATTACTGCTGTTTTTAATAAGATTTTTTATTTGGCCTTTTGTTTAAGGACAGCATGAAGTGGGGAAATAGAGAATGGGGGAATGACACGGGCCGCAAGCTGGGGTCGAGTCCTGACTGCTGCTGCGAGGCGGCGCCTCTGTCCATGGGGCCTGTGCATGCTACGTACAGACTGCACTCTACAACAGGTGATGAAAACAGCAGTAATAGGGACGTCGGTAGCTTAGTGGATAGTGCAGACGCCCCTATTACTGCCGTTTTCATCACCTGGTGTATGAGTGTTGTGAGGAATAGTGTGGGGTAGCTGAGTAGATTGTGCTGGCAGTACCCAACTGGCTATGTTCTTCGGTTAGAAAGAAGCTGCATTACTCCAGATTCCATATTTAGGCTCCTTTAATGAACTTAAAAATATAGTACAGAAAGTGCAGACGTGTGTGTGTGTGTGGTTTCCTATGAGGCAAACATAGGGGAAATAGTTATTAGGCAGGCCATACTACATACATACATGCAACACAACGCAGTATTCTGAATAACATATGTAATATATAAAATGGCCATAGGGTGGCGGTCCTGGGCAACACAAATGCACCCATACACTATCTACAGGCTTGAGAGAGAAATATTACACATTACGATGCTATCGTCAGTGTTGAATCATCTACATTTCCATATAAACTAAGTACCAGTATGAAAAGGAAAGTAGAATAACATTAGAATAATCCTAACCTGACATACAATCGTCTCAGGTAACACATACACCAAAAACGGAACACATGTGGATAGTAGCTAGCGATCTCAGCCATAGCATTCTCTAAGAACATGTAACGTCGGAATAATCACAACATTAAACGCTTCCACAGATGAACAGACAGTCGCCCAACAACGGCAGGGAGTTTTCCACAAGTGTAGTCTTCATCACTGTCCCCACTGTCACTGAGACAACTGTCGTCACTTTCGACTGGTGGAATCCCGGTTTGAAGTCCACCTGGTCGCTTCTCATAGAACATTGA